AGGGCGGACAAAGGTGCGCTGCGACCGTCTCTTCCACAGGAGGAATAGCCGTGTATCCTCTCTCGGCGGCGCCGTCCACTTGGGAGAGCGACGCGGAGGTCTGAGACTGAAGCCTCGAAGAGAAGGGTGTGTTCCACGACTTTGTCAACTCCGTGTGAAGCTCCGGTAGGAACGGAGCGGGCCTGCTTGCTGGGGCTGAACGGTGGCGACTTTGCAGGAAACATCCGTCGAGCCTATTCGGCGCGGGTTCCTTCGGTAGCGACCACTCGAGCCCGAGTCGGTCAACCGCCTGCGTCAGCAGACGCATCAGCTCCGCATCAGCTCCAGCGCGGGTACGGCCGGATTCCTGGATCGACGAGGAGGCGGAGTTTAGCGACCATTCCTCGCTATCCGATGCCAGGATGGAGCAGCAGTCTCTCGTGGCGTGTCCTTCGGCCTCATCCTCAGACGCGACGGCAGTGAGGCTCGTGAGCGGCAGCTGCGCGTCGGTGAAGGGAGGCGGGGAAGGCGAGAGCGAGGCTCGAGGGAGGTTCTCCGTTGAGTGCGTCGCTGTGGCCACAGGTTCCGGCTAGGGGTGGAACGGTACATGTATTCGTACCGAACCGAAACGGTACGGGCGTCACGGTTCGGTGCACGAATTTACACGGAGAATACACGGTATAAAAATAAATAAAACTCGCGTGAAAATTAATTAATGTAATGCGGAACTACTGTTAGATACGCGGGTTCTTTAGGGACACATAATCTGTACCATCGGCTTAGCTCTGAACGCGCGTTCACTTCAAACGTTGGCTTTATACGCGCGTCCTATTCGCTTTGGACTAGCGTCGAACTAGACGCGATAGACGCGAATTTAACGCTCGGCTCTATTCGCGTTTGGTGTGACCGCATAGCATAATGAACAGGCTGCGATGTCAAGATTGCAATGCTGGAGTGTGTGTGTTTGTGTGTGTGTGTGTGTGTGAGAGAGAGGCGCGGCCGCGATCGAACAGTGGAAACATAAAAAACATACTCCGTCATTTTGTTCATACAGATCATTAAACCTGCAAAGTGTTTACTTAAATTTGTGTACACTCGCAATAAAACACAACATTGTGCTTTTGTCACACTGTAAACTCTTGTCAAACTGTAACCTACAACTGTCACCCAACCAAAATCTCTCTCTCTCTCTCACACACACACACACACACAGTTTTAAAAGCAAAAAAAAAATTTATCCGACTCCATTTCAAAACAGTCTGTGGGTCCCATCTTTTGGACATTCATCATATCGCATTGGTTTTCATTTCTCGTCCTCGGAGCGCTAATCATGTTAGAGAATAATGTTACATTGTTAATTAATAATGTTAATTAAAATTAAGGAAAACAAATATATTGATCTGAAATATAGCAAATTAATTTTAAATTAATTCAGGTACAATTACCAAACATATCGCAAGGTCTTTTTGTCTTTTTATTAATTTAATTAATAAACTATTTATATAAAACTATTGTCAGTGCACTACAAATAAACTGGTTCTATGCCTTTATTAATAAAACTTATTTAAAAAATACAATGCCTTCTGCATTTTTGTTTTGCTTTTCCCTCCATTGTACCGAAATCGTACCGAACAGTGATGTCTGAACCGAGGTATGAACCGAACCGTGACTTCTGTGTACCGTTCCACCCCTAGTTCCGGCTGTCTCTGGGAACGGCACTTCTTTTTGCGCGGTCCCACAAAGGGCGGAGTGACTGCTTCCGGGTTGAAGGCTTCGAGTCGAGCCCGCAGGGTCGACAGCGGAAGCGCTTCACAGAACTCGCAGCCCCCGGACGCGAGGGCGAGCTCCGTGTGTTCCTGGCCCAGGCAGAGAGCGCAGATCACGTGGCGGTCTCCGACGCTGAGCGGGGCCCTGCACGAGCCACAGGAAGTGCGAAGCATCTTGAAAAAGACGCTCGCTGCTCTTTTAGGAGTATGAGAATACAATAAAAGGATACGTCGCCGGATAGCGTAGCTCGCACGGATGGCTGAAGGTGGCGAAGACGGCCGGCTTCCTCAGCGCTGTCCTAAGCTGGCTGTTCGCTGTTCGACGGCGGCGGTGGCTTCTCTCAGATCCAGCGATGCGAAGGGCTTCGCTGAAGAGACGAAAATCAGGGAATTCAGCCTACAGCCCCTTCTTTTATACGCTAAGCCACGCCCATTCTGGCGGGCTATGACGCTATGAAGGCGCGGGCGCCCTTCATTGAGCGTGACGTCATGCGGGGCTCACTGGTAGGCTGCAGCAGATGCCCGCAGGGCAGCCAATGAGCACGTAAGACTGCCTGCTCTAGGTCTGCTAGCTGCTGCACTGCGTTGACAATGAATACAAAATTAAGGATAATTTTTTGGCTTCAATATCTCGAGAAGATGAATCTTTCCCGTAGCGTAAGCTAAACTTACGCAATACGAGAGAACCTCTCGTAAGAGAACATCATACAGACTTCTTTCAAAAATGTCCTTTCTTATTAAAAAAAGACTAATTTATTTGATCTAGGCTCCATACTTTGTGCCCCATCTCTTCCCCCTCGAAGCCAATTCTGTGCTAACCCAGTGGTCTATCACTCTATTAGAATTTGGTCTCAATTTAGAAGGCATTTAAGTTGCAGACAACGTCGGTACATTCTCCCATAAAGAATAATTATAATTTCCCACCTTCTCTCTCAGACTCTACCTTCGGAACCTGGTCCTCGAAGGGCATTAAGTCTATTTCCTGTCTTTACATAGATGGCAAGTTCGGATCATTTGCTCAACTCTCACAATTATTCGATTTACCTATGTCCCACTTCTTTAGATTTCTCCTAATTAAACACTTTGTCCAGAAAAGTACAACCTCCTTTCCAGATTTCCCAGTGAGCAACACAGTCGACCATATCCTTGCATTATCCCCTTCACATAAAGGTCTAATCTCGACTCTCTATAACAGTATATGCAATGTCTCCCCGCACTCTTTGCAGGATGTCAGGAGACTTTGGGAGAACGATCTCGGGGAGGAATTTACAGATGTTCATTGGAAGGCTGTGCTTGATTCAATTCATACATCTTCTCCTTTTGCCAGACACAGCGTGATACAACTTAAAATAGTTCTAAGAGCACACTTGACTAAGACAAGGCTGGTGAAAATCGTCCCTAATGTGGACCCTGCGTGCCCTCGTTGCAAAGGTCAGCCAGCGGATTATATACATATGTTCTGGTCCTGCCCTAAACTCAATATGTTCTGGGCCAACATCTTTGGTGCCTACACTAAGATGCTTCAAAAAAACATTACTCCCAATCCTGTCAGTGCCCTATTTGGATTCACCCCTGATAATCTCCCCCTTATAGCATTCACTTCCTTGATTGCCAGGCGTCTCATCCTGCTCTCCTGGAAGGAACAAGCACCCCCCAGCTTCACAAGGTGGATTAGGGATGTAATGAATTTCCTGAAGCTTGAGAAGATCAGATATACCCTTAAAGGCTCCTTGCAAACATTCAGGAAGGTCTGTGCCCCCTTTTTAGAGTACTATGAGAGATCGCAAACACCATTAAATAAGGATGAGTAAGGTGTTATCATCAGAGTGAAGCGGCAGCCCCTTCCCCCCCTTCACTTTAAAAAAAAAAAAAATAATGTATTATTTTTTTCAAATTTTTTTTTTTACATATTTGTCTGGACTTACTTATTTAGATAGTTTATTTAGATTATTATTATTATTTTATGTCTTCCACTCATTTCTTTACTGTTGTAATCACTTATTTTGCAACATTATGCTATATTGTATATGCTCCTTCTGCAATCCTTAGTTGTACAAGCACTTTAATGAACAATCATTCTTGTGAAGATCTGGATTCAAAGGAACGAATTAGGATGGATGGTTGGGTGGGTGGGGGTGTATCTTTCATATTGATGAACATCTGTATAACACAGCCATAATATGTTTGTATAGATTTGGCCCAACATGTGCTGTAGTAGAAAATGCTACATGGTTTAATAGAAATTCAAATAAAAACTGTTAAATATATAAAAAAACGAATTTACGTTTTATTAAAAGTGCAGGGGACAGATTCCCCGCAAATTCTACGCCCGCATGCTTCCAAGGCTCTTCCATCTGCAAGTTCCAGATTGTCAGGACCTTCACTAAGGTACCTTCATCTGCATGATCCAGACTACATGGATCTTCTCGGTGCTCCCAAAGATCAGCATTATCCAGCTCTTCATGTTCAATGCTGTTTAAACTCCTGTCTTCCAGTGGAACGCGGATCAGCACAACCAGTGGAAGCCATCGGCCACCACTGGAATATTTTTTTCAGAGACTTCGGCATTAGTGTGAATTGTCAGTATGTGATTTTGTATTAGATGTTTTAAAACAAACAATCATTCAGTTAATTTGTTGAATTCAGAATAAGGTGATTCACCTTATTAGTTGCAGAGGAACCATAGTTTATCCTTCCATGAGATAACAACTCTGCCATAGTAACATTCAACTTAATCACCTCCATTTATCAATCTTATGCACTTAATGTATCCATTCATGGCACTCATTTAGTAGTTGATATTTTTGTACATAAAATTCCTGAAAACCTTCAATTTACATAATATTTATTTATTCGATCACCCATGACTGTTCTTTTACTGTTAAGGTGAAATTCATTATCTGGCGCCCTGAGGTAAAGGTGGCCCTCTGACATTTTCACAGGGTTTAGAACGACAATAACTGGTTACTGATAACTGGCCCTAAACAGTAAAATAAAATTAAACATCAAGTCATTAAAATATTATTTATTAAAATAAGAAAACATATGGAACCATTTGTATGTGCCATTTACTCAGAATCTGCAACTAGAATGATGTTACTCAATAGTATCAATAAGGACTTTTTTTTTTTTTTTTGTGACGACCACAAAAGCACATAATTATTTTAAAACATTTATTCAAAGTACTGACATTCTAAACCAGAAAGCAAGATAATTCTGAATTTTCTAAAAACAAAACAAATGCAAGTTCCACATAAACACTTATTGACAGGAAAACAGCTTAATTGCAGATAATAAAATAAAAAATGATATACATGACATAAGCAATCTACGATTGGTTTAGGATATTTTGTCAAGTACAAGCTGATTCAATGGCATTTAATAATTCATGACAGTGTTTCACATTAACATAGGGCCTGGTTCATGCCATTTCTGTCCTTTTTAGACATAAATAGTCAGTTGGTCATATGGTAATTTATCAGAAATCATGAGTCAAGTTGCTCCAATCTGTACATGTGTTAGCATAATTTCCAGAGAAAACAAACATTAGTATCTATGTCGTTTGTTGTTCGGCCCATCAAAGTTGCCCCCAACCGGACTTCCTCTCCCAAAGCCACTTTGGCCAACCACACCAGGAACAGGACCTGCCCCAACCACCATGGGTGAGTGCTGCTGCTGCTGAGGGGAGTCAACACCAGTCCGCCCACCCACGGGAGAACCCATCGGAAGACCTCCTCCTTCAGAAAACCGCTCATTATGCTGAATATAAAAAATAGGCATATTAGTAGCAAGCAATTGTTTGAATATAATGCCATTTTACATTAACCATATAATATTTTAGTTGTTGCATAAACAAGTTGTCAAAAATAAGCAAAAATGTCAAATGTCAAATTATTGACTATATTTTGAGCCAAAGGTCTTGTAATGATTTTCAGTTTTGTTCAAGGTAATTAAAGCAACAGTTTTTCAATAATGAAAAAATATGTAAATGTATGGTATTTGGATAAAAGGCACCACCTGCTGATGGGCCCAAAGGGACACTAATTAACATGATAAATAGCTGGCTGAACTTTCCAGTTGTTGAAATGACATGGTTAGATTCAGATGGTAAATATCATATATCAAGTTGTCCACCATCACAATCATCATATTTATAATGAAACCATCATATTTAAAAAATGATATTAATAATATAATATAATAAAATATCATATATTTGCTTTTTTATTAAATAATTCTGTTTCTGTACTTTTAAATTGAACATACATTAGCCAAAAGTTTTGGGACCCCTGCCTTTACATGCACATGAACTTTAATGACATCCCATTCTTAATCCGTAGGGTTTAATATGGAGTTGGCCCACCCTTTGCAGCTATAACAGCTTCAACTCTTCTGGGAAGGTTTTCCACAAGGTTTAGGAGTGTGTATATGGGAAGTTTTGACCATTCTTCTAGAAGCGCATTAGTGAGGTCAGGCACTGATGTTAGACGAGAAGGCCTGGCTCACAGTCTCCACTCTAATTCATCCCAAAGGTGTTCTATCGGGTTGAGGTCAGGACTCTGTGCAGGCCAGTCAAGTTCATCTACACCCCACTCGCTCATCCATGTCTTTATGGACCTTGCTTTGTGCAGTGGTGAGCAGTCATGTTGGAACAGGAAGGGGCCATACCCAAACTGTTCCTATAGAGTTGGGAGCATGAAATTGTCCAAATTGTATTGTTGTGCTGAAGCTTTAAGAGTTCCTTTCACTGGAACTAGAGGGCCAAGCCCAACCCCTGAAAAAAAACCCCACACCATAATCCCCCCTTCACTAAACTTTACACTTGGCACAATGCAGTCAGGCAAGTACCGCTCTCCTGGCAACCACCAAACCCAGACTCGTCCATCAGATTGCCAAACAGAGAAGCGTGATTCGTCACTCCAGAGAACACGACTCCACTGCTTTAGTGTCCAGTGTCGGCATGCTTTACACCACTGCATCCGATGCTTTGCATTGCACATGGTGATGTAATTCTTGGATGGAGCTGCTCGGCCATGGAAACCCATTCCATGAAGCTCTCTATGCACTGTTCTTGAGCTAATCTGAAGGCCACATGAAGTTTGGAGGTCTGTAGCTACTGACTTAGCAGAAAGTTGGCGACTTCTGCACACTGTGCGCCTCAGCATGCACTGACCCTACTTTGTGATTTTACGTGGCCTACCACTTCGTGGCTGAGTTGCTGTTGTTCCCAATTACTTCCACTTTGTTATAATACCACCACTAATAGTTGACCGTGGAATATTTAGTGGTGAGGAAATTTCATGAATGGATTACACAGGTTGGAACCTATCACGGTACCACAATTGAATTCACTGAGCTCCTGAGAGCGACCCATTCTTTCACAAATGTTTGTAGAAGCAGACTGCATGCCTAGGTGCTTGATTGTATACAACTGTGGCCATGGAAGTAATTGGAACACCTGAATTTAATGATTTGGAGGGGTGTCCCAATACTTTTGGCAATATAGTGTATTTTAATGACAGTATATTTATTGAACAAAAATAAATTCTTTTATTTATCAAAATAAACCAAAAATAGTACACAATATCGCTCAAGTGATTGTTTTGAACAAGTATTAACTTAGACATTATTAAAACATTATTTTAGCTAAAGTAATTGTATCAATACTAATGTGATTTTTGCCCCATGCTGATGACCTTGACAGTTGCCACCAAATAAAATCTGTTGCTCCATCAATGTTCATTCAAAACACATATATTTTTCCTGCAATCATACAATATGGGAGAAGTGAAAAGCACTTTTGTTTTACGGTGTACCTTTAATATGATATTTTATTATATGATTTGCGATATACAAAGAAATGCCTACAATCACTATTATAGTTTTGTAATCCTGCACAAATGACAAAAAAACAACTCAAAGAATAATAAAAAGTGAACCGAAAACATACTGTCACAGTTCTGTCACCCTTGTCTGGGTTTTCTCTTGGTTTAGTGACAGAGCTGTGAAACTCCCGGTTTGTCATGTGTTTGTGTTTAGTCTGGTCTGTTGTGAACACATGGCTGTCATGTTATTTCCCTGTGCCATGTGCTCTCCAGTCAATTGTCAAACCCCGCCCATCTTGTTATTGGTTAATTTTCCCCACCTGCCTGCCTCGTTACCTTATGTTTGTTCCCCTATTTAATCTCCCTGTGTTTACAGTCCTGTGCTGGGGGAGACGAAGTGATAACAACATTTGAGTAATTTGGCGGAGTAGCAACAACTGTACCGTGAATGTAACTATCATGGGTGATACAACGGACGGAGATAGTGACAATATGGAATGGAAGGATGTAACTAGAAAGAGGAAAGGTAGGAATGATAGCTCAGGAAGTTCAGTCTGCGGAGTGGAGGTGGGTGATATGGTTAAAAAAGCAAAGGCTAGTGAGAAGAAGGAAGATGAACAAACTGATTGGAAAGTGATGATAACGTTTAAAAATGAAGGAGGACATTTCCATCCACTTAAGCTTACAAAGGCAATTGAAAAAGAAATGGGTAAGATCAAGTTTGCTAAATACTTGAGTAATAAGAGGGTTTTGATTTTTGCCAAAGATCAATTACAAAGAGATAAATTGCTTAAAGCAAAAACTTTGAACGGAGAAAGGATTAGTGCTCATATCCCAGGAAATGCAGCAAAACTCAGAGGTGTTATTTATGACATTCCTTTGACAATGAAAATGGATGAGATAATACAAGAAATCAAAGGAGGAAAAGTTGTTAAAGCCACAAGAATACAAATTCAAAGAAATGGTGTGAGAACGGATAGCTTATCTGTAATCCTTGAGTTTGAGCGTGAGTTACCCAAAAGAGTAAGAATGGGATATATGAGTTATGATGTCAGAGAATTTATTCCTGCTCCTTTGCGCTGCTTTAAGTGTCAAAGAATGGGACACACGGTAGGACAATGTAAAGGAAAGCAAAGATGTGCAAGATGTGGAGGAGAACATGATTATGGAAAATGTGGTCAAGATGGAAAAATTAGATGTTGTAACTGTGGTGGGGAACACAGTGCTGCTTTTGGAGGATGTCCTGTTCAAAAACAAGCTAGAGAGGTGCAGAAATATAAAATAACAAATCAGGTATCCTATGCTGATGCACTTAAAAAAGTGAAGGAGAATGTGATAAATGAATCCCGTTCAGCACATAAAGTAAACAATGAGAGAGAGATTGTGAAGAAGCAGCAAATAGAGACCTTGCCTGTTGAAATAAACCAGAGTCAATTAGAAACTAATCCATATATACAGAAGATTAATGAGGATACAATGATGGTGGATAAAATAAATTTTATCACTTTCATATGTAAGGTTGTGAATGTGGCGATACAGCAAAAGAAAAAAAGTGATAGAATCAAGACCATTGTAGAAGCAGCTATAGAAATTCTGGGGATTAAAGAAGTTACAGCTGAATTGATACATGAGATGTTGAATCCTTCCAATGATGGAGTATCTCAAGGTGATTAGTAGTTTGATCATGGTTTTCCTTATACTCCAATGGAATGCCAGAAGTCTTATAGCGAATGGGCAAGAATTTAAGAAGGTTGTAGATGAGTTGGAAGTTTTACCTGATGTTATGTGTTTACAAGAAACATGGCTAAGAACACATCTGGAATTTGTTATTCCAGGATATAATTCTATTAGATGTGATCGAATTGATAAACAAGGTGGAGGATGTGTAACATTTATTAAGGATAATATAGCATATAGACAAATAAATGTTCCAAATGAATTTGAATGCATAGTAATAGAAATTTGTAGTCCCAGAGGAGATATCAAAATAGTCAACTATTACAATCCTTGTAAAAAGCTGTCAATGCACAATTTTCATATGATTTTAGAAAATGTTACCAGAAGAGAAATTTGGTGTGGTGATTTTAATGCTCACAATACACTATGGGGAAGTGATCATACTGATAATAATGGAGAAATAGTTGAAGAACTAATAGAGGAGAGATCACTGGTGTGTCTTAATAATGGAAGTGGAACTAGGGTGAATGTTATAAGAAATACAGTTTCATGTTTAGATCTCACGTTAGTCTCTGGAAATATTAGTAATATTTGTGAATGGAATGTTAAGAATGATACTAATATAGGTAGTGATCACTTTCCAATATTATGCTCGTTGAATTTTGATGTGTTTATTCAGGATGAATATGTAATAGAAAGATGGTGTTTTGGTAAAGCGGATTGGAGAGTTTTTAAAGATTATTGTATTGAAAGTTCTGAAAGATTATCAATGGAGGGTGATGTTGATAAATGTACAGAAACAATAACCGCTATGATTATCAGTGCTGCATCAGCATGCATTCCTAAGAGTAGCATAATAAAGGGGAAAAAAAAGAAAATGGTTCCGTGGTGGAACAATGAATGTAAAAATGCTATTAAAGAAAGAAATCATGCGTTCAGGATTTTAAGAAAACATTTGAGTCAAGATAACGTGATTGAATACCAAAGGAAGAAAGCAAGGGCAAGGAAAGTAATTAAGTCATCCAAAAAGAGTGCTTGGAGACAGTTTTGCTCCTCCATTGGCAGTGAAGTACAATTGGGTGATATTTGGGCAATGATTAAAAAAAATGAGTGGGAAAAGGAAATCGGTTAATATCCCAGCATTGAGAGATGGAGAGTATATGGCAATTACAAATAAGGAGAAAGCTGATTTACTAGGCAAGAAGTTTGCAAGTGTGCATAGTGGAAGTCATTTGGATGAAATGCACAAACAAAGAA